GGTTTGGATTAGCATACATGGACTAGACGGAGTGGCATCCACACTATTGCCCATTATGAGAGTAGACGAAATGGGAGTAGGCCAACTGGGATGTTACCCACAATACGACCGTTCGTGGTAGTAGTGGTTCTGGACAGGTGTTTGAGCGAGTGTGTGTTTTGTCTTTGGCAGCAAATGGAGGTTGTACCGGCGGGCGCCGCCGCTCGTGTTGGAGAGTGGTCTGCCGGGCGTGTCCATCATGAAACCACTCGTCGGCGTCGACTCCAACCTCTTCAGCAACCTGGAAACCTTCTTCAACATGAACTATCCAAAGGTACAAGCCAATATTAAACATGTTATGAACATTGAAAAGTATATAGTACAAACAAATAACAATATGAACAAATATTATATGGCAAATGGGATTCTATATTTCACAGTTTACGATAGGAATCACAACGATATAAATACGATATCTCAATATACACTTGATTGTGAATTTATATGTAATAGGATCCCGAACGTACAAATGTAAGTTAAGTATAAAGTTATTGTGTACCAAATAATACCTACATTATCAAATTGTATATAAGTTAAATATATGTACAAGTATTATTGTAAAAAAAAACTATCCAAAGGTACGAGGGAAGCAGGTCGTCGTCGTCAGGGTGTTAGCCAGGCAAAAAAATCAGGGAGTCTCACAATCTGAGCGAAGCGAGGATGCTGCGTGCGTAAAGCGCACTAAGGGAGGGTCTTACCTTAAAATGGAGGAAATTTAGTTTGAAATGCCAAAAAGACAGGAATCTGATATGATTTTATATTCTTATTTAAGCACTGTTGTCAGTTATACATGGTGTATACTATAATATATAAAATTTCATCTGTCTCATCCAAGGCTATAAACACACTGGTCGTCGTAGTCACGCGCAGGGAAGCGTTACCTGTGCACACCTGCGGGTGTCATCAGCTCGTTAGCTGTAATGAGATCCGCGCTCGTTTTGTCATTCACCGAGAATGAATTCACGTACTTCGGGGAAATTATTTATGAAATTATTTATGTGATTAATTCGTTGTGATTTTTTTTTATTTGAGTGCGTGTGCATCATATCTCTCTCACTACTCACGAAGTGAGTCCCTGAAAGTTATGTATGTTACATGTGGTTCAATCACCCAACTGTCCCATAAGATGTTCTGCAGTAATGCCATCTAATTCATGTTGGTTCATTACATAGAGTTGGTAACAAAATAAAATGATCAGACGTTTAGGCTGTTGTAAATCGTCAACATATGTCCGAAATATTCTAAGTGCAGTTAATTGTGCTAAGGGGCAGAAAGAATTCTATAATAGTATGAAACCGACCTTAAGCCCGGCGCACACGTGAGTTATTTTACTCAAGTAAAATGACGCATGAGTCGAATTACTCAACGAAAATCCGCCGCA